ACAGGCAGCAGTATGACGGACTAAGGAGGGCAGTAAAACCAAGGCCTTCAGTTACGCACTACTGAGATGACGTGGGTCTGCCAGTGGAAAATGATCGATGCCTTTTACCACAATATAACTTTTTAAGTTGGACCTCCGCTCCTCCTGCCCTTTGGCTGTTACAGTCCAATGAAGGATTACAACATGGCAATTTTCCAGACTGCTTTGTAGGGGTCTAAAACAATTACTGTTCCAACACAAACCCCAGCAACTTAAAATGAGCACATTTTTCACACTTGCCTGGGAAGTTTATCACGCATCTCTTCTCTCCCTTCCAAAGTCCAACCACTTACTTGTCTTTCAAAAATAATAAAACAAAACAAAATCTAACAGGCAGGCAAAAAATGCTGCTGTCAGAGGCCTTAAGGAGTTTGAATCCTCCCCCTGAAGTATGGTTTTGAAACGAGAGAAGATGGGGAAAGCAGTGAGATGGCAGATCTGATTACCCAGAAGCAGGCTAACCTGTCTTCTGACCTCCTGAAGCACGGTCAGCATCTCCCGCTCCACTTATCATGCACCCTGTGCCGCACCTCCTGAAACACATATCCTGATTCCTGAATCACCTCCTTCCTCCCCCCAAAAACAGCCCCTCTGCTGAACCGGGAATACGCAAATATGCATGAATCACCAGTTGCTCTGCTTTCTTTTTAAAGGGTGATCTTTCAAGAAAAGTTGCATCTTACTCATGTACTGAATGTAAGTGCTCTCATATGCATTTTGTGATGCAAATTTTCAGCTATGCCTCAACTTATTTTCACATTCTTGCTTTTTTTAAGAGGTAATTTCTGCACAAGTGTGTTCTTTAGAAAACACTTTTGCTAAGGCAGAATGAGAATTTATTTCAAACCTTAAGCTAAACTTAGAGGCTAACTTCAATCACAACCCCTAAGGTCAAATCTTACGTCAATAATAAATTTTAATTGAGCTCTCCAGCAAATTTCAGCAGTAAAAAAATGCAATTTTTGCTAAATGATAGTTTTGCTTGAAACATTCATTAAAATGAAAACACACATTTACCAATACTAAAATGTACAGTCTTCCATAACAGTAAAGGTTAAAAGGCACTAAAACTTGGTGGCTTTAACAGAATGGCATGAACTGGGATGGCAGAACACAAAAATATTCCTTAAAAGGCAGAGGTTCTACGTGACAGAAAACTGTCTGTTGAAGATACGTATGCAGAGCTCTTATCCCAGCCTCATTCCAGGGAAAATAACAGCCCCCCTCCCACATTAGACAGGTATATCAGTTTGATAAAATCGTTCTCAGTGAAATATATTCCAACAATCTAAAATGTGCCAAAGCACTACCTTATAAAACATAGACACATCAGCTTAACATAATATTGTTTGATCACCAGAGTATGAACTGGTAGCTTCCTATAGACGACATCAAAACTGTATGTAAATCTTCAGATTGGATTTGGAGTGTTAAGCTTTTCACACAGTGTTGAATGATAATAAACAGTTTAAATAGACCATATGGCAATACCTGCGCATTGTTTTTCATGCCTTTTCATATAATTCCTACACCCGCTATGAGCTTCGTGCAGGTGCTGAAACATTACTTTAACTGCGGTAAATCCAGTCTGTGCCCCACAGAATACCTAAGGTCGTATTTCCATGCTCTATTGTCCTGCTTCCGGCCGGCTTGGGGAGACACGCACTACAGTGCCAAACAAAACGAAATGACTCTACAGCAAAATGACAGCCTTTAAAAATGATAGTGTATACTGGCAAACTAATGCCAATTAGCGTCAAAAGCTGGGCCCTCTCACAACACTGTCGAATTGTAAATATAACTAGCAGTGACCCAGATTAATTAACCATAGCCAAAGTTATGAAAAAGGCAATGAATAATGAAAACACAGGCAAATGCTCATCTTTCTTGTTTTTCAAGATAAAATACTGTGTTTATATTCAAGGTGAAGCACTATCACACTCATCACACGTCAGGGAAACTGGTAACAGGGAAAACATGCAAATTCCGCACAAACACACACACATACAGTACACACTCACATGCATTTGTATCCATATATTTGTGGGGACTATCCAGTCATTTCAACCCTAATCCCACCAATGACAACCTTAACACCTACCCAGCTGTAACCAAAAGTAACCCAACAAAATACAAGACCTTCTTTGATTGCAGTCACAGATTTTTATAAAACTGAGTTCCTCTTTGTGGGGACCGAAAAAAAAAAAACGTCACAGTTTGGTCCCCACAATGTAATACATACATGACCCCCCCGCCCCACACACACACACACAGACACACACACACACACGGCAGAGCTGGGTCAAACATAAATACCTCCAGCCCTGAAGATGAGAGCCAACAGTTCTACGCACTGAGCCACTATCTCACCACCTTAAACAATATTAGGCTAGATCATCTACTTATTCATCTTACTTTGGCTATACTTATTGATGGCTGAACTAAAAAGCACCGTCTGTCTATCTGAATCAGTCTCCCAAATCATCAAACTTGCAAGATAAGATGAATGAGAAGAGTAAGACAGTCAAGAATACTGCATGTGTTCTGAAGCCGTACACAAGGACACAATGTCAGTAAATGGCACAGTAAGGAGGAGAGCTACGTCAGAGGAAACGCAAAGGATTTTAGATGATGTAATGCAGTTATGCACCATCAGGAAAAAAAGCTTACCTGTCCACATATCTGCGGCTGGGGTCGGACACCAGAACGCCCAGGGGAGCGTGAGGGAAGGGCGGCTGGCGCAGCAGGCGGTATCGCAGCGGCTGACAGCCCTGGCACAGCGGGCAGTCGGGTCTGGAGGACAGCAGCGTGGCGTCGATCTCCAGGTGCTGCTCCATGGTAAAGAACTGCACGCCGTACACTTCCTCCTGCACCAACAGCTTGATAGTGAGCGGCGTGTCGCAGAAGACGTCCCAAGGACCCAGGGAGATGTTGTTGCCGCCGACGGTCAAGAGCACGATGTTATGAATGGCTGGCAGCTGGGTCTCCTCAGGTGAGAAGAAGGTCACCCACACTGTGAGGGAGTCGGGCACCAGAGGGTGAAGGAACTCCAGCTGCAGCATGCAGCCCTGCAGGGGGCACGGGGGGGAGCCCACGCTGCTGGAATCCATGCCAGAATTGGGGCTCCAGGTTCGCACGCTGGCCTCGCACGCTTGCTCCACGTCTGGTGGGCCTTAACAGAGACACAACACAGCACACGACCCATCAGATAAGAGTACAGGCCAGGCAGCCGAAGAGGTGCCGTCCCTGTGGAAAGACCCCAGGCTACCAGGAGATCATTGGGCTTTTTAGCTATGTTTAAAAAACGTCGTCGTCGTTCCATGTGAAGAGCGTCTTTCCGTGTCCCACCACCTGCACACTCTGCTTCTACTCTGCCGTCCGCAGCATCCACTCAAAGAGCCTTCGTACAGACTTCAGTTGTGGATCGTCGGCAGAACGGCCTGGTACATGCATGTACAGTAAAAGCTGGAGCATATTTGCGCATATATCAAACCGTCCAAGGGCCCGTCACAATGTTTTCACTTCAGAGACGCAATTAGACCCTAAACATGCAGTGCTGCCATACTTGGAGTGGGCAGCAACTCTTATTATTCAGAGTGACGCACTTAACATTCATCAAGTGGTTTGAGGGGCCAGGGCTTAGTCGACTCCATGTATCCCCCTTTTTTTTCTTGTATAACTCCAAACTGGCAACCGCAATCACATTTGCTAACCTCATTGCTGGTCCGCAAAGAAGAATTTGATGTTTAATCAACAGAACTCAGAATTCACGCTCCGGGGTACACAATCTCAACACATTCATTCCAGTTAGTGTGCGGGCCAGACCAGAGGTAACCATTAAAGTGATTCTTTGAGCAACTCGAAGGGTTTGTCACCGCATTCTTTAAGTGTCATATTCAACATGCTCTTAAAAGATGTATTCCATACTTGTACAACCTGAGGTGCGGTGATGTCCATGCAGTGAGGATGCTGTAGCACAACTGACCGACCCCCATTGCTTTAAGGTGGTGTAACAGCTACAAAGTGTTTCTTATGCAGTTTCCTCTTGCCAGGATCTCATTTCATAATTAGATGATCTTTCACTCTATTTTTTTGGTTTCAACAAATATGTTCTTGATTAAATCAAGTTATTCACTTTGTAATATCCCATATTAGGATGGAGCATTGTTGCGCAACTGATTACAATCAGCGCTGTACCACTCAACTGTAAAAATACTTATTCAGAAATGTCTTTCACTGCATTGCATTTCAATTTGCAGAAAGAAATTAAGAATGCGTATTTCTTTGTAAATGTCAGTTGTCAGGATCTTTCGAACCGCCCTACTGAATTAAAACCATGCTGATGTCATCACTGCAGTGCCTGGATCTGCAGATTCATTTTCATTTCGCTTCAAATTTACTTCGAACAAATGCATTAAAATAACTAATTAAAGCACAAAATTTGCAAGTCTTCTCTGACTTTCTCATAACTTATTAGACAGCAGGAGTTTCAAAGAAGCAGGACAATTTAACTTGCTAAAGCAAATCCAAACCTTGTTTTTCCAGTCAATTAGCTAAGCCCCACTGGAGTTTCAGCATGTCTAGGAAACGTTTTTCTAAGAAAAGTATAGAGAAGCTTCTGGACGGAATCCAACTTAATTGCTGCCAGTTGAAAAATGAACATTATCTGCAAGTCCACTGGAAAACCCCAGGATGGAAATCAGGACACAAACAGCAGTGAACCCAAGAAACCTGGTCCTTACAGGTACCGGTGCCAAGGAAAGAGAAGACGGACGCAGGATATGCCCAGACATGCAGCAACTGCCCTTTCAATGAGCTCAGCAGTGACGTAAGACGTAACAACAGACTCAGTAAACAATTACACCCTGCTGGCTGTGGTACAGACCGCTACAATTTAAGCCCTGCTACCAGAATATAAATGCTAGCCGATAACTTTCCATTCAAATATCAATAGCACCTATGTGACTAGGGACACAAGCACTTATTTCACCCACAGCCAACAGACCAAAACACATGGTGTATTTTGAGTGCTCTGTGTTGAAGCAGTATGGTGCAACAAAGCAGGTCGTCACCAGATTCAAGAGTCAACTGCCACTGTCAGTTTGGGCCTGCTTCCTCTTATCATGTCATACATGGTCATCAGTTACCTAGGTGTCTGTGTACACTAGCTGGAAGACGTCACCGTCAGATTGCTGAGTACCTCTACTCTGCTCCTTACTTCAGTATTAAGAAAAAAATAACACAAAAAAACAAACAAAAAAAAACATTACTTTTCTTATTGAATATCAGGGATATTGAAATGAAAGCAGGACCCCTATACATACATGTTTAAGATATTATGGTTGCAACTGATTGCGAAATAAGAAAAAATCTATGGGTGGGGAGTGTCGCTGACTGTTTGTCCCAGAAGAGCATGTTCTCAGAGAGCAGCAATGGTCTTCAAGAAGCTCTCCAAGGAACAGTGTGACTTGACAGTGTCTGTGTTGCTCCATTCCTGTAAATGTGTGTGAGATCTCACTCACATGGGCTTTTTGACATGCCTCACTGTCAGATATTCCATTCCTCCTTTCTGCAGTGGGACTTCATTTTCATACCGATTTTCCTAAACTATAAGCCTTACTCTGGCAGAGAGGCTCGCGTGTACTTTAGCATAATGAAAAGTACTCTCGTAACGGTTTAGAATACAATTTTGGCTTTCGGGTTTTTCCGAGCAGTGAGACTACCAGCAGTAGTCTCACAACACCAGTGAAGCATCAAAACTGTGCAGCTCTCATTTTCTCTTCCTAAGAACAACAATAACACAGACATATTTCCCCTAGGTATCGTTATACATGTAGTAACAGTTAAAGGGAATAACTAAACAAAGTGTATAAATATATAAATATGTCAATTTAATCAGAAAATGAGATCCCACAATTAGGCTATGGGAAATAAATTATTTCATATAAGTTCAACTGAACACATGATAAGTCAACAAAAAGATTGAAAGGTTTGAGGGATTTAAAAGCATTACAATGGCCTAAAAGAATAATAGCCTCTACAAAGGACTCCATAAGTCTATTTGCATAACTTAAAGGCTTTATTAGACGTCCCAGGGTACTTACACCGCATCTAGGACATGATTATGGTAAAGATTTCCTATTTTATGGAAAGTTACAAAAACCGACATAAACAATACACAGTGCAACAGATTAAGGTACTAATTACTTGATTGGCAATATTTTTTTTATAATTAATAATTTTGTAAGTTATTCATCCATTACATGGAATCATATTTTTAAGATAATAGGCAAGTACTGGAATTAATTAGTGCTGAGTAATAAAATTTTTAATGTTCTCTGCTTCAGAACTATCAGATAATATAATAAACATATTCTATGCTTTTCAAATTTGTGGAAAGCTTTAAATGTATGTGGGTCTGTAATAGTACAAATTCTTTAAATTTTCACAAACAATGGCCAAACCAAAAGTTTATGTGTGAAATATTTAATACATATGCAGAAAACCATCCTGATTAATGTCTTAATTAATGATTAGCAAATATGCCTTTGAATCACTACTCGCCTGTCAAAATCGTTAGCCAATGTAAATCTTGCCTAAAAGCAGTGGACTCAGTGCCTCTAAACCTAAGGGACGAATGTTTTGTCACCTCCTTAACATTTCTTGCAATTTATTATACTTTCCTTTTTTTCCTAATGTGGAAATAAATCCGCAAGCAGTGGTCACTTTTCCCCGATTTCTGAATTCCCCAGACAGGCTTGACCTGAACCTGATGAGTCACTGGAATGACCAAAACTCCTAGTTCCCAAATACCGTCAGGAATGTCCTGTACTATAAAAACAGTAACATTTAAGAAAATGCAAATATAGCTGCGTCCTCACATTTAAACCGGCATGTTTGTGGCAAGGAAACTGAGCCCTAAAAATGTACAGCCTGCATGGTTAGGGGCCACTTCGCTGTACACCACTAGCAGAGTTTAGTTTGCACCCTAATTCACTATTTCAAGCCCAGAGCCATAATCCACTTATTCTCATGACTACACTGTAAAATCCTAGTACCTACTATGTGAAAGGAATGTACAATATAATTTGCCGAAAATGAGACGGTACCGCTCCAACAAGACCCTGAATATCTAAATAAATGTTGGCCGTACTTGTTTCCATGTACATTTCACACCTTGTTTTATTTCAGTTGATTACAATTCCAGAGCTCTCTCTAACATTGGCTATGAGTAATGTGTTCACTCTGTGGAGCATCCCAGACTCATCTCTGTTAGAATACTTGAGCTGTGACTACAGGTGCATCTTTGTGATGGCTGACGAACCCCAGATATTCCACAATTCTAGAACTGCAGCACTCTTTTGTTTGGCACAGAATGGTACTCTGGTCTCTCGGCCAGCGGCATAGCCCTCTCCAATTCACATGCAGCCAAAAAAATTCAAAGTGACTACGCAAGTCAGTGCCGCTTTAGGTGCCACAGTGAGGGTGGCCAGGGTGGGGGGTATTTGGTACTGATTGCTCACCTTGCGTTGAAAAACATACAGCTTCATACATCTGGTCAGTGTACACGTCAGTATGAAAAATCTCTGAAAGAAATTCCTTTGCCACCTGTTGAGGGTGAAGGCATGATGAATTTAGGAGATCTTGGAATCTGGAACATACCTCTTTAAGAATCACCACTGTTAATCTCCTACTTCAATCACTTTCACTAAAATTTCCAACATTTGATTTCTTTTATGGTTCTTATGTCCACATTGAACTTTTCATTCCAAGCCTAATTTAATATACATACAAGGACCCAGTCTGGCTTCAGTTTTGTTCAGAGCAGAACAACTTTGCAAAAATGTTTATAATAATGCAGTATAATGTATTTGTGGCCCATGTGAAATATTACATTGATGATGAACAGGCTTGGTGCCTGTAATTGAGCCTCGGTGTCTGTTGGCCATTCAATAGTGGAAATTACAGAAGGCTGCCAAAATTAAGATGGCGAACCTTTAACTGTAGATAACACATGACAGTGCACCATTTACAACCCGCAGAGACAACACTGACAACATGTCACTGCTGTATCTTACATGCGAGGCTAATTGACGTCAAGGGGATGCGTCGTTGTCTTAGACAGTAGCTGCTCCACACTGTCTTCAGGCAAGTATCAATAGGCAGCACATGTGCATGCATCTTTAACATTACACGACAGCTTTAGTGGCAAACCGGGGGACATTGGGGGATGGTGGCATTACGTCAGCATGGGTGTGATAGGAATCAGTGTGCAGTTAATGCGATGGGATGTCGGATGAACTCAGAACAGCTGTGCCTCTTGCACTGGGACTGAGATGCTCGTATAAACCAGAATAGAGCGGCTTGGCTCCAAGCGCTGGGCAGATGGGCCAACCGCACCATAGCCTGCAGAGCTGGACCAGTGAAGTAAACTAATGAGGTAAGAGCGACTCGGCCTCCTAAAAGGATGCTCATTCCACACATTCCTGGTTTCCCCTCTCACGTCCATTCTCCTTTTCGTCTCCTGATTTCAATCAACTGTGGGATGTTTCACATGAATGTCAGTAACCACAGGGCAATTTGCATAGCTGGCTCCTTCCACGCACGCGTTTTTCGTCTTTTTTTGGTCGGCTTGTTCCAGTCGTCTGGGGCTCTCTGTGAAACACTACAAGGTTACTTAAAGCTATATTTGATGCCACTGATATTTCTGACAGACCCATTGTGTGAGGAAACAAACCGCAAAACCCTAGGGTGATTAGAGATGCCGGAGGAGTCGCATGTAGCAAAGGCATGCCGCGTGAGTGCCCAGAGTCTACAGGAATCCCTCTGAGGAAGTGTCTCTGTTTTAGGGGGCACGCAACTGTCGTAAAAAAAAAAAAACTCAGGCAAAAGTGGAGCTAAAAATAACCGAAATTACAGCAGCTGTGAGGTATCTCTGGCAGGTTTGTATCAGATGATGTAAACGGTCGAAAGGGGAGCAAAGCTGCTTTTGACAGGAACATCTAAGGGGGAAGCAGAGCGGCTTTACAAGTCTGGGCATGCCTTTGCTCCTGAATGTTAGCCACACCGCTGAGGCAGCAAAGCTACCGATGCTGTCCCTCAGCTGGCTGGTGTGCCGTCTGTCCAATCCGCCGCGCGCATCCCTCAGGATACTATTAATGAGCTGACATAAAGACAAGTTAATGAAGAAGGACGGCCACTGCACTGATACGGAAATATAAACGAGTCACACACAAGCTCTTCACTTGTGAATCATTGCAGCATCACAGTCAAACCATCCTTCTATGTGCAAATTTTATGAGGACAGAAGCTGAAAGAAAGTAATCGATCACCTGATAGTGAAGACGTATAAAACTAAGGGATGATAAGATTTAAATTCTCTGACTGCTGGAGGCCAAAGTCAAAAAATAGAACATTCCAGAAGAGGGGAAAACATGAGTCAACCCGAAATGAGCAAATAACTACATGTCCCTTTTCCCAGTATATGTGTACAAAGCTCCATGGACTTCATTTCATTCTATATTTACGGTCTCTCTTAAAATAAATACATGAGAGAATAAAAGTTTACGGAGATTGTATGACTAAAGTTCTCCACTTTCCAAAACGTGGCAATATTCCACTCTTGGATATCTTCTCCCTCAGCACTATCTATAAATTATTACTACTTAAAGCACCCAGAATAATCTACAAATTGTTTAACTTTCTTAAACCTGCCTTCCTAGTAATAGTATGCATAATTCAGCGAGGAAGGACTGTAAAGTCTTTAACAAGTTTAATTTGAAAGGTCAGTTAAGAAACAGTAGCAGTACATTAAATATGTTTGTGCCAAATGTCCACATTCCCTGGATTTACCAGCTGACGTATTCAGCTTTCCCCAGGAGGTCTGCAGTATGTTTAACCCTGCGGCTAATTCCAGAAACTGTAAATTAGAGTGCAAGGCGAAATTTGCATAAATAATGCCTCTGATTTCCATTTGCTTATAGCTGCATTAATAAAAACAGAGATGGTGTTGGGACTTATAGACCCCCAGGCGGTTGCTATGTGTACGTCTGCTTTTTTTAAATCATCAAACAAATTGCCACCATTGTTTTGTACAAAAAAATGAACTCAAGCTAGCTGGCACATATATGAATAACTATACACATTTATGCTAAATAAATGTGTATAGTTATTCATTATTAAAATGATAAACACATTTCAAGATTATTTATGTTAATAATTATTAAGTAATTAGTAAGTTCACTTTACAATACTCTAAACAGTAGCTCAATGCATATAAAATGTTTTTTCAACCACTTCCATTTTTATTTCCTGAAATATAAAAGTTATATTTAATTATTAGTAGATGATTTTATCCAAAGCTGTTAAAATGTGGCCCATTAACGCAGTTGGAAACTTTAAGGGCATTTTATGGGCACCAGTATAAGACCCCAGCTGGGGCATACTGGGTCATGAGGCTCTGTGCTTTGACATTAACCTGCCTGCTTCCATTCCTCGGGAGGTCAGACCAAGTTTTACTTAAAAGACCATTACATTTAAAGTGAATTCCCAGACTGGTAGCAGACTACACCTCAGTCAGTACAGATGTCTTGAAGGCCCCACTCTTTCTTTGAAGTCTTTCACCAATCGTATGTTGTGGTGGAGAACAGACCACAGCAGCAGTGCGTGTAGCTGCCTGACAGGTATGTGCAAAGCACTTCATTATTTATAAACAGAAATATACATCACAAGTTCTAATTTCTACCCTTACATTTGTTAAGCAAACAAACCAATTCCACTAATCCTAGTGTTTTGTTAACATCATTTACCATCAGATTATCAATGCATGATATTCACAGTGACTCTGACAGCATATGTCCTGGAACAGGAGGACTGAGACTTAGAAATAAAACCTTTTCATACCTTCGGCCTCCCGAGGGCTCCAGTGTCCTGAGGGAGCGCAGGGGCGGGGAGATGAGGAGTTGGAGGCGTATTGCATAAGGACCCTCCCTTCTGTGCATTTATCACATACTGATCCCACTTCTCTAGGAAACCAACAGACAGCCATAGGTACCAACTTAGATACAAAACAAAACAAAGTTAGTGCAGCCTCTAGACTTCTAACTTACATAAAATATTTCAATGCAGATTTGATCACAGCAAAATACGGTCACTTATTTCTTTGGTTGACTTATTTTTCATCATATGCTTCCATAGTGCCCAAAATCTCAAGCGGCGCTCCAGCATCAGCTATTAAAAAGGTCAGACAATCAGCATTTTCACATGTGAGTTTTCAAAGCAGCATGAGGCCAAATAGTCAGTGACAAATTGCATTAATTACAAAAAAATTACTTAATTATTTTAAATAATAATAATAATAATGTGTCATGGGCAAAAATTACAACAACCAATGCCAATCAGACAACTTCATTGGCGAAGAACACTGGTTGTATGTTAAAGCTCACTGAAAAGAGCAGACAGACATTTAGTTTATACAACAGAAACAGCCTAAAATGACCACAGACCTGAATCAGCATCTCTGTGACCCAGTGTCAATGAAAGCTGTACATTGTGAGCTTCAAAAAATAAGAATGTAATTTAAAAGAATAAGAATTTACAGTCAGTTTGGAAAATGCTTGCATGTAAAGCCAATGTACATAAAAATGCATAACCTGGGGTAAGGAAGACAAAACCTGGACACCAAAGAGATGGAAAAAAGTAATAATGTCTGATGAATTATCTTTCACACTTTTTCCTGCTTCTGGACAGGTTTACATTTGGAGATAGCCTGCAGCCCATAATGCCTCTTGGTATGGGCCCTCATTACGCCGGATGGCTTCCTTGCATGGTCATATAACAGCAAAGGAATACGAGGTCATCTTACAGAACAGGCCCAAGAAGGACTGTTGCTGTTCTGATGCCAAACGATGGCCCTGCTCCTCATCAGGTCCTTAATATATATTGTTTGATATTTCCAAAATTTTGCCCACTGTCTATATTTTTTACATTTAAGACAAACATATAAGAATTAATGCACGATGCAGTTAAGAAATAAAACATTTAAAATATTTTCTGAATTACATATGCAAACTAAATATGGAATTCTTTACACCATTTTAAATGTGATCTTATAAATTATATTAAATACCTGAGGATTAATCTGATATTTTTGCATTACACAATGCACAACACTTATCACAAAGGATTTAACAAAAAATGTGACCCTCTTGAGACTTCTTCATCTACTTTAATATAATTTTATTATTCAGAATAGCCAGCATTATGTCTGAGGTAGCATTACATTTAAATCTATTTTTACCATGTTTGGACACAACTGGCATGTGAGAAAAATGTCTGAGGCTTCTTGTGAGTAATTTAAAGGTCAATCCCTCCCCACTGTATCATACAAACACATGCTCCTTTCAAGTTAACTAGGCATGACACCTCCATATGTTTGCATTGCCTGGTTTTTAACACAGTGGGGCAAAAAAGTATTTAGTCAGCCACCAATTGTGCAAGTTCTCCCACTTAAAAAGATGAGAGAGGCCTGTAATTTTCATCATAGGTAAACCTCAACTATGAGAGACAGAATGAGGGGAAAAAAATTAAAGAATTTATTTGCAAATTATGGTGGAAAATAAGTATTTGATCACCTACAAACAAGCAAGATTTCTGGTTCTCACAGACCTGTAACTTCTTCTGTAAGAGGCTCCTCTGTCCTCCACTCGTTACCTGTACAGTATTAATGGCACCTGTTTGAACTCGTTATCAGTATAAAAGACACCTGTCCACAACCTCTACAGTCACACTCCAAACTCCACTATGGCCAAGACCAAAGAGCTGTCAAAGGACACCAGAAACAAAATTGTAGACCTGCAGCAGGCTGGGAACATCTGCAATAGCTAAGCAGCTTGGTGTGAAGAAATCAACTGTGGGAGCAATTATTAGAAAATGGAAGACATACAAGACCACTGATAATCTCCCTCGATCTGGGGCTCCACGCAAGATCTCACCCCGTGGGGTCAAAATGATCACAAGAACGGTGAGCAAAAATCCCAGAACCACACGGGGAGACCTAGTGAATGACCTGCATAGAGCTGGGACCAAAGTACCAAAGGCTACCATCTGTAACACACTACGCCGCCAGGCACTCAAATCCTGCAGTGCCAGACGTGTCCCCCTGCTTAAGCCAGTACATGTGCAGGCCCGTCTGAAGTTTGCTAGAGAGCATTTGGATGATCCAGAAGAGGATTGGGAGAATGTCATATGGTCAGATGAAATCAAAATAGAACTTTTTGGTAAAAACTCTTCTCGTCGTGTTTGGAGGAGAAAGAATGCTGAGTTGCATCCAAAGAACACCATACCTACTGTGAAGCATGGGGGTGGAAACATCATGCTTTGGGGCTGTTTTTCTGCAAAGGGACCAGGACGACTGATCCCTGTAAAGGAAAGAATGAATGGGGCCATGTATCGTCAGATTTTGAGTGAAAACCTCCTTCCATCAGCAAGGGCATTGAAGATGAAACGTGGCTGGGTCTTTCAGCATGACAATGATCCCAAACACACCACCCGGGTAACGAAGGAATGGCTTCGTAAGAAGCATTTCAAGGTCCTGGAGAGGCCTAGCCAGTCTCCAGATCTCAACCCCATAGAAAATCTTTGGAGGGAGTTGAAAGTCCGTGTTGCCCAGCGACAGCCCCAAAACATCACTGCTCTAGAGGAGATCTGCATGGAGGAAAGGGCCAAAATACCAGCAACAGTGTGTGAAAACTTTGTGATGACTTACAGAAAACGTTTGACCTCTGTCATTGCCAACAAAGGGTATATAACAAAGTATTGAGATGAACTTTTGTTATTGACCAAATACTTATTTTCCACCATAATTTGCAAATAAATTCTTTAAAAATCAGACAACGTGATTTTCTGGATTTTTTTTTCTCATTTTGTCTCTCATAGTTGAGGTTTACCTATGATGAAAATTACAGGCCTCTCTCATCTTTTTAAGTGGGAGAACTTGCACAATTGGTGGCTGACTAAATACTTTTTTGCCCCACTGTATGTGGCCACAATTCTAGCAGGGTGGAAGAAAACGTACCCTTGTATTCACTTAAAGACATTCTCTAAATTGATTCCAATTCCACACTCATAAACACTCTTTTGTCATCGTTCTATCATAAGGTTTCCTTGGGGCAGAGCGCTGTTTTTCTCTTTATGTGCAGGATATTCTGATACGTTTTTCCTGATAATTATTTTCCATATGACACAAAAACAGATTAGTAAAATAATTAATGCTCAATGTGAAATGATCAATGGGCGGGTTTCAGATACACGGCCTGTAGGTGATAACTTTGCATGCCTTTAGGTCCCCTGATGTCACGCCGCGTTCCTACAGGTGACGGCGGCCAGCACGGCCACACAGCCTCTTCTTGTGCGTCTTATTTTCACCTGTCGTAGAAGCGCCCTGTGATGGGCGGGAACCACTCCAGCAGCAGCGCATTGTCTTCCTGCTCCACCACCTGGGGTGCCATGGGCACAGGTGGGGGCTTGCTGCCCGCCTGCCAGGACTGGTAGATGAGGTCCAGGTAGCAGTGCATTCTAGCCACTTGGTTAAGTGTGAATGAGTCAGTGCAGTCATCGTCTACAGGAGAGAGAGAGAAAGAGAGAGAGAGAGAGAGAACCGTGAGGATGTGCCTAGGAGAGAAGAGGAGGAGTAGGAACAGGCATAAGATCTATGATGGTCTGCTCTGATCACTAAAGCTATGGCGTGAGAGACGGAAAAACCTGCTACAATAGAAAAAAACACAAAGTGACCTTTTCACATTCAGTTCAGTCACAATATAAATTGTCCAACCATCTAAGCATCCATCCATCTTCCAATCGCTCATCCAGCCCAGGGTCACAGGCAGCCCATCCCAGGCAGCAAAGGGCATGCGGCAGGGGAACACTCTGCACGGGACGCCACTCCATTGCAACACAGAATATAAATTATACACAATGCAATTTTTCAGCTGTTTCAGCAGTCTTTCTTTTTAAAGGGTTTGATCTTGGCATAAATGTTCCAAATGAGTGAGGTACTGAGGGAAGAGTGAGACACAAACAAAAAAAGTGATCTAAAGAAGAGCACTGGTGTGCCGTACAGAGGGCCTTTTTAAAGCTGGTTTTTATTCCATGCATGAAGTTAATAACAGCGATACACTTCGAAGACCAAGGCCAAACTGAACTTGCTCCACCTATGTTAGCCTGGGTGCAGTAAACAATAGGAGAAAAGATTCTGTAAGACCTTTCAATGTCCACTTATTCTCAGGCGCTGCACTCAGTCTCATACATCAGCTACACATGGTGTCAGTTAACGGTCGGAATAGCGCTACCAGTTTCGCAGAAGAGCTTTTCAATAAAAAATCAAGAAGTTGATCCCAGCATCTCTCCTTCAGTTAAACAGTGTTCAGCAAACACAACGCAATCATAGATGCATCTCAGATCACACACAGCTCCGTTTACCCACCTGCGTAACTCATATAGTTATTATAGGGAGTTTGGGTGAAATGACGCCGGCCACAGGTATCGTTTCCAGGCTCAGGGTCCCTGCAGTGTTTGTACTTGGGCGTGGGGTTGGTATCAGCACACAGGTCTCCTGTCTCCAGGGAGGGCTCTGTCTCCCAGCAGGCATCGTTACACGACTCGACCTCAGAGATCCCTCTGAAGACGTGGTAGAGGCCCAGACTGTGACCGATCTCATGGATCATGGTGTGAGTGTGACCAAAAGTGCCATAAAAGGAAGGATTCAGCACAATCCCACCTACAAAGAACAGGAAGCACATTTCGATGTAAAAACAATGACTCGTTCCTTATTGTCCATAAAAATCTAAAAATGTATTTAAGACTCTCGATGACTTCACCAGATCATCTCAATTCATAGTAATAATAATAACTACAATTATGCGATGCACGTTAGAACATACCTAAATGTGTTAAAGCTTCTTTATCCCAGGGCCAGGTAGCAACCCCAGCCAGGTCTTCATCCGTGGAGTTGGCAAAGAAGATGTTGAGATGTGAGGAGCCATCCAGATTCAATATCTCTTTGAGCTCTTTGACATCCAGAAACGCTCTAGTGGAGAGACAGAATTGAGCATAGATTAAGCCCTGCAGGGTAATTCCCGATCAATACAATTTAAACACGATCCTTATTATTCTTATTCTCCTGTTTATTTATTTCTTGTCAGGCTACTGCTCTGTTTATATACATTCAGGCGTTACTCACTTGACTTCAGCCAGCTTGACTTGCACTGTCCTGTGTTTTGCACTTTTAAAATTGTTGTGAATCCCCCCCCCCCTTTGTCACTTGCTGTTTGTCACACCATGGTCCTGGGGGATATTATCTCATGCCACTGTATACCTGTGTATAGGTGGTATGACCATAAATTCCACCTGACTTAATGCCTCATTATGTAAATAAACTCAATGTCAATGCTTTAGCTTCAGGGGACTATTTGTCTGTCTGTCTGTCTGTCAGTCTGTCTGTTTTCCTGTTAGACAAGATCCCATTGAACCTGGCACAGAGATTTATATGACGTGAACTAAATGGTTACAGAGAGGGTTTCTAGTCCATGCTTGGTAATTGCAAAAAGAAACAAGCAAACAAAGACAAACAAAAATAGGTCAATTTTACGATATAACAACAGTACTAAACTTTTTAGATTTTGGAATAGATTCAAGTGCTGTACAGGGTGCCGCACTGACCTGCGTTATTGAATAAGACAGAAAATGAACAATCGGCCCCTGCCTTGCAGGCAGTGTCTGGCTATTTCTTGGGGAAAGTGGCATCCTGTAAATGCCTGGCCCAGATGAGCTGCCTATCACATGAGGAAAGACTTATTACGAGTGAAATCTGAGCCACGCTGGGAGGCCAAGTCTTCAGGGTCAAGGGTCACTGGCCCTGTCTAGTTAGGAATGTAACATGTCATCTGGTCTGCTGTAACCATCTACCCTCTAACATACTAATTACACTTTTTCAAAGTCGGTCTCCATGTTTCCTTAGTGTCCGGAGCGTGCTAAGTGCCAGATGTGTGAATCCGAAACAGAGAAGATGCTGTTACAGGGCAAGAGGAAGCACAGCTGATCCACAATGTTATGGTAAAACAACAGCAGGACACATCAATCTGTATGCCTGCCGGCCTGCCTTGTTGTAAGTTCTTCCCAATCTACAGCTGTCGCGAGTGTGCACCCTTCTCTCAATCATTTGAAAAGGATAACTCTTAATTATATGTAGCTGTTAATAGCCTCTGTTATGCCATTCACAGATACACAAAGCTGGTGGGTAAACCCATACATAGGAAAGAAAAGTGTGAACAGCTACAGATCAGCATTTAAACAACTTCACACTCAGTCATCACAATAAGATTCTGAAGCAGCTTTCCAGTAACACTCAGGTATGAATTTTCACGCTTGGATTCGTTGATCAGTAATAATTTCTATGCATCTTGCATTGTTAAATTTGGGAGAAACATATGCTCCAATCAGACTGTCTTAATTGAAAGTGACTTTTCAAATTTTTGTTATTATCTTTGGATTCCACTGACAGGGGAAGACTTAGACAAATAGTTTTACCCCCCCCCCCTTACAATGCTGGAACAAGAAAAATAAAAGACATGCCCCAACCCCCAGGACAGACACCCTGAAAAACATCCATAACCCCTGCACCACCCGCAAACACTCCCAACTTGACTCTTTGAAGGTACATCTGTTTGCCAGCTCACTCTACTGAGTCGTGGATGAATGGAGCTGGGGTGCCGGCCGCGACTGAGGGCATAGCACAGCTTTCTGTCTTCCTGAATGGTCACATGTGCGTGATCTCGAAATCTGAAGGTAAATGTTAACTTTTGATCCAGTTCAACAGGAAGTCAAAAGGTATCTCACCACAGGAATGATAAAAAAGCCTTACAATAACACTCTACCACTGCTGTTACATTATGGCTTGTGGAAATTTTGCTGTTACAAGCACACAATATTAAGCATCTTTTCACAGTCATCTAAAATATTTCTTTGTTGAATAATAATTGGAGATTAAGTAACTGTCCTGGATCATGAGCTGAAAGTTGGAAAGCATCTTTCTTTAATTCATATGTTTTATATACTCACATAACCACACATACTAATCTGAGAATTGTTTTTGTGTGATGAGTAATCACTGTGAGGTTTGTGTGACACAGCGGAGCAGATACTCTGGGTTTATGTATGGAGATAGCACTTTCCCCTACCTGCGCTTTGTATAGGATATTGCATTTTTGCACATTTCCTACCACCTATATCCCTAAGAATATCCCTACATTGCAATTATCACCCGCTCCAACTTACACTACCCAAAACAGTTACAAAAACATCTCTTCTACAGGTTCTAGGAAACAGCTTCACATAACTCTTACCCATGCATAAACAGTAATAGAAATATTACCTATATATAATTACTATTACAATTCTATTCAGTATTGCTATTAATTCTCTTTGAAAGACACTGTCACCACAGATTAGATATTCCCATACCCCTCTTTAGTAGCAGGCGAGACTGAAGAACGTTCCAAAGAGTACCCTGTTTGACTTGTGTCTGATGGGGTCACATTATGTCCTTACGAAGAACAAAAAAAGCTACAAACTCCCAGAGCTTAGGATCTTTGTGCAGGATTAAAAATAAAAGATGATAGAGTTTTCTCTTTCTCATAAGCAGCGTTTTAAGTGAGAAGTTGTTACACAGGGGGGGCATTATCAAAGGACAGCTAAGGTCAGTTTATGGAAACCAGGAAGCTTGCTCCGGGGCCAGGCCTATGGAGAACACATGATATAAGGTTTCCCTCTTAATAATTTCAGGAATTTAATTATTTCCTATGAAAATATTTGGCTGGCTTTTTGGCTATGCAGAAAGGGAAGAAAAGGTCATAGGGTTTAATGGGGAGAAGAGTCAGACAGCTATGGAGCAAGCAGAAAGTGATACGCATGTCTCTGCATAGGTGTACGGTGCATGTAAAATTTCTGCTCTTTATCTGGGTGTCTGCCTATGCGGCATTCTGTGGAGGAAGCAAGTTCCAATGGCCTCTCTAAAGCGGTGTGCTCTGCCAGTCGTGTTTGGCCTGGTGTCGGAAGTACAGCATGACCCCCTTATTGCAGCCGCTCTCCCCCAGGACGTCTTGCTGATTCCCCGCTATAGGCAGAGCACAGATCAGGGCCCGGGGCTCGGCCTACATTTTCACATGGGAGGAGCCCCTGAGGAGAGGGAGAACATTTTCCATTCCTTTCACTTCTGCACACTTTAGTCAAAAAAGGGATTTAAATCATCTTGAAAGACAAAAAGGGGGAGAAAAGAACTCCACTGAATGCAGATGTCACCGGAAATCACTGCTGCATGAATAGCTGCAGCATGTAGGAATGCATGTTGATGCATTTATGCTTAATACCAGCTAAATGAATGATTATGGCTTCATCCATTTACACCCATATATTATTCATAAAAACTCATAAAATCACCTGGCATGTGGGGCCTTGCCCGCTGTGTGCGCGGGACCTGGGGCACACCGACTGGGTGCTGCTTGCCAAGCAGCCCAGAGAGCCATAAATTGGCAGCGCCTCAGCAGCCTTGTCACCAACCCCATGAACAAAACAGCCATCAAAGCAGCCACTCATTACCACTCTGGCCACAAGCCCTGAGATAGCGGCAGATATCATGCTGCACTGCAGCCCAATGCAACCACTCAAAAGGGGAGAAACTAAAACAGACACTAAATGTATCAGATGATGTCATTTCCTCCTGGAATAAAAGTGCTGCAGTTCTGTGCGCTCCTGTTCTGGAGTCATTAATAGGGCACGCTGTGCATCTTTTTCTAGCTATTCCGTTATCCGCTGGCTGTTACCCCGGTATGCATTGGTGAAATGCAACAGAAATTCACTTGTCCTGTATTCAAACTGTCAGTTCTGTCAGCGGGAGTAATAGAAATGTGGTCTCCGGCCTCTGGCACATCCAGCCGCTTGTCCCCTGATGGCGAACGCCGAAGGCTGGGGGATTATGAGAGTGCAGAATTACGGTGTGAAGGAATCTGCCATCACACCATCACACCACCCGGGAGAGCATAATCCTGACGCGACTCAATTTTTATCTAAGGGGAGAGAAAGCACAGGCGATTTGCGCGAACAAACGCATGAATAGACAGTGTGACCAAACAGTGAAAGACAGCGGCTCTAGGTGTGCGGACAGAACGAGGCAGTCCTCTACAAATGCCCGGATAAAAGCCTTTGCCAGGCCGATCAGAAAAACTCTCCCACCAGTTGTGACTCACAAGACTTTTTAATTGAAGTTGTTTAGAAGTGAAAATCCTCGCAAACACCGGCAGCTTCAACCTTAAACCCAATGCTGTCAGGACACCAGTGATGTATGCCGGCATAGATAAGGGGGATGCAGGGGATTTTTACTGGGCCTTCAGCTCTTTAAAACAAAGGTGTTAAAAGCTCGCTTTATACCAAATCGTCTGTTAGGTAAAGCCATTAACATCTGTTGGTTTACTATGAGAAGGTCTTAAATTTAGACTACAGGTTGTAAAATACCAAGCTCCTCTGAGTAAGTCCAGTTAAAGGAGGAAAAGACTTTCTGTTAATTTGTGCAGTGGAGGATTGCTGACAGGTCGATACTGAAAAGAGCCCAGTGGTGACAAATGAGCTTGAACTTTTACTGGATAAAACAGGCTGTCACATGAAGGAGAAGGTTCCATGATGGCTTCTTGCTTATCGTTATAACGATATAAATAGCCAAAGTGCCAAGGCTCCTAAACGATTCACAAAATATTATCTGTACATCATCACGATCGGAGCATTTTCTCCATTCCCGCTGTTCTTAATTTGAGTTTCCAGCAGAATAAAATGTGCTCTCAATAGCAACAAGTGTAGACTGCTTAAGTCTAACAGTAAATTCATTTAGTGGTTTGGAACCTGGTAGATTAATAAATCACTCTAACGACTGCCAGAAAACGAGAAAAAAAAAAGAATTACAATGTGCGATAATGTGCTGCAATTAGAATTTATCTTTAATCATAACAGCCATTGAGATTTCTCAGATAAGTTTTTATTATT